TCCTTGGATGGTGACTTGACACAAACCTAATGTGACCTTGGGCAAGTTATTTAATCTTTTTGAATTTAGGTTTCTTTATTTGTAAAACAAAGATATCCTCCTAGGGTTTTGAGATTTAAATAAGATAAAGAAAATATCTATTACAGTGTACAGTACATGTTTAATAAACAGTAGCTTTTATAAATAACTTCCCTTTACATGGTTAATAGTGGAGAAACTTCATGCTGAGCAAGTGAGTGTGAGCCAAGAGTATTTAATGGCAATCGTGAGAGGTATTGGAATTAATTTTTATATAGTAACATTATAAATGATGGCTAGGGTCCTGTATCATTGTTCAAATATCTATATAACCTATAATATTCATGATTAATTTTTCTATAGCAAGGTTGCTGTTGGCAGTACAGGCAGGGTCCTGGGGCAGTCAGTGTCCTAGTTGCACAGAGACCCTCATATTATTTTTATGAGATAATGACTTTGGAATGTTTGTGTGAAGTTCAGCAACACAGCCCCGCCGATTCAGCCTTAGGTATGGGATTAGGGACTCCCTTTACTTCTAACCTCCCTCATTTATTGGGTGTTGGCAATGGGGACTGAAGCTTCTTTTGGTGGCTCCAGTGGCAGAGTTCTGGGAAGGTATGTATTTATATTGATGAGGTCAGGATGAGGGTGGCTGGGAGGAGGTTAATACAAGGAAATTGGAGAAAGAGAGAGAGGCACAGTTACTTATTAATCTGAGCTGGCTTCCCATATGCTTCTTTTCCCCCACAAGAATCTCAGAGTTTAGGCTCTTTGCTTTCTTTACATTGTCACCACCATTGAGTCTTTAATAAAAGCCTCCCTTCCCCTTCAAGACTAGCACTGAAGAGAGCATGATTTCTCTTTGGCCTGCCAGTTGCAGAAACTGCAGTATTTTGTTTTTTATGAGATTTTGCTGCTAGAAGTCATGCAAAATATACAGAATCTTACTTTTTAAAAAAGACTTCCTTTTTTACAGTCAGCCTTCCTCTTTTATTTCTTAGAGATAAAACTAAAGACACTTAAAAATAAATACAACCTTTAAGCATTCAAAGGAAATAATGATAAAATTCAATTACATTTCAGGGAATAATTAGATTCAAGAATTCCCTGGGATTTTGCGTGTGTGTGTGTGTGTGTGTGTGTGTGTGTGTTGTGTGTTAGGAGTTCGATTTGTGGCTCTGGGTAGAAGGTTACTGAGAGGGGATGATGAAAAGCAGAGACTTATACCTTCTCCTCCATTTCCTTTCCTCACTAATTTTGCCACAGGTTAGAATGACACTCAAGTTGCCTAAGAAGTCAGGACTGGATTTAGAATTGGGTAGACCCTTGTTAAGAAGTTAGTGACATTAGGAGGTGATTTATGGGCACAGCAGCTTAAAGCAAAGGGATTATCAATGGCTACCTCTCTGGGATAGTTCTTTTAAGGAGACTTTTATGTGTATGTTAAGTCAGGGTCTGTCTATACTCATCTTTGTATTCAACTATTAGTGAGTATCTATTATGTACTATAAAAAATATTGGGGAATCAGGGATACAATAGATATATTGAAGATGCTTGTATAATCATTAATAGTAAATGTTTTGCTAATTAAGCTGCCATACAGTACAATAACAATTTTGCATAGCAAAAACTATTTCATAGCTCATAGAGCAGTAGAAGGTCCTTCCTAAAGGTCAGGAATCAGCAAACTTTTTCTCTAGGGACCAAATAGTAAATACTTTTGGATTTTGAGGCTATATGGTCTCTATTGAAACTATTGAATTGTGCAACTGTAGTGTGAAAGCAGCCACAGATGCTATGCCTGTGTGTGTTTCAATAAAATTTTATTAACGAACATGTGAATTTCATATAATTTTCATGTATCATTAAATATTATTCTTCTATTGTTTTTCAACCATTTAAAAATAAACCCTGTCTGGTGTGGCTCAGTTGGTTGGAGCATTGTCCTGTAGACCATAAGGTTGTGGGTTCAATTCTTGGCAGGGCAACCACCTAGGTTGTAGGTTCGATCTCTGGTCAGGGTGCATGCAGGAGTCAACCAATCGATATTTCCCTCTCACATCGATGTTTCTTTCTCTTACTCTCTCTCTCTCTCTCTTTCCCCCTCTCTTAAAGCAATGAAAAAATTTCCTTGGGTGAGGATAAAAAAATTTTTTTAATGCAAAAAAACATTTTTAGGTCAAAGGCTCTATAAAACCAGACAGCAGGCCAGAGTTGCAGTGGAAGTTAACAGATAAATTACAAACATTTAGTTGTTTCATTGAAATAGTTCATTCTGCTGTATATAAAAAAAATAGATGGTTTAACAGGCAATTTAATAAAGTGGTAGAGTATTTCTAATAAGAGGTGTCATAATTTATGACAGAGACATTCAGCAAGACCGGCTTCAGGGAGGCCTGTGGCAAGAGTTTTCACACCCTTCATCCCTAAGGAAAGTCCTGTGGGAAGAACTAAATTTTTACAACAAAGCTCTATGGTCACAACAGTCCCTTTCCTTAACTTCCTTTTTCCTTCTAATATAACTTCCTTCTTGCTCTCTTCTTCTGGTGTCTGACTCAGCATGGCTGTATGCATGGGATTACAATCCTCTTTTTTTCCTGAATAAATTTTTTTGCCCATGAAACATGTAGTCAACTCTTTGTTGACAGTAGACAGAGGCAAAAGAATGTCCGTGCTTTTCATTAGCTTTTGTAGTCCCATAGTTTTGGATACAGAGTGAGATGGCCTCAAGAGCATTTGAGGCAGCCTCAAACATCTCTGGAAAGTTTGATTTGGACTGACATTTGACACTATTTGGAAAACCTTAGAAAGAGGAAGTATATGTCAAAACATTAGGTTTATTTAAGAATAATAATAATAAAATACTTAACATCCATTGAATTCTGAAAATGTTCTCATTTATTCCTCATGATAATTATGAAAAAAAATCTGCTATTTTCACTTTATAGACAAGAAAAGTAAAGCACAGGAGATTAAGTAGTTTGAGTAGTTAGGCCAGGATTCAAACTCAGGGAATCTATCTCAAGGCTAAAGGAATTTAATAAAAGCTAACAGATGTATAGAGTTACGTGAATGAAAAAGCAAGCAAAATGTTGTTGAAAATCAGTTTAAACTTGCTAATTTTACAGATAAGGAGAATGAGACTTAAAATTAACAAGACTTTCCAAGGTCACAGAGTAAGATCAGACGTAGATCTCAGATTTCCTAACTACTAGGTCATGTAGTTTATTTTGCTATACTGCATGCCCTTCAAAATAAAAAAATAAAAAAAATAAAAAAACCTGGCAGAATGGAATGAGTAAACATGTTAAGTTTCAGAGCCAGACACAAAATTTATGTAGGACATAGAAAAATCTTGATTTAGGGTCTAAAATATAACATTTACTTAAAGCCACTTTAAATAAAATTTGAATTAATAATTAAAATACAAATTAAACTGTAAATGTGTAAGAACTCAATAAAATAGTTCCTTTAATGATTAAGTTTTAAGTCCCTCATTTTTATGAAAAGACTGGAATAAATCATGGAATTCATTTATATCTTTCAAATTAAAAAAGGGAGATGGCTCTTAAACTTATTTTTTAAGTAAACTTTTCCTTCAAAACAAAGTAAATGTACATTGCAAAAAACTGAAGGAAAGCAAATGAAATAAAATTACTAGTACTCCTTCCTTCAAAGTATTAATGTGAAGGTTTTTTTTCTAACCACAACAAAAGTATATAAAATAAATTAATTTTACAAAACTACTTTTTTTAGGTGGAGAGTTCCTGTTTACACTTATTCATTTAACATTTACTGAACTGAAATTTATAAATTGGAACTGGCACTATGCTGGATACTTGGGGATAAGGAGATGAGCAGGGCAGTCTGTCCCTAGCATTTACAGTATATGGGAGGAGACATACAGGGTCTGGAACAAATAATGCTCCCTTTTTATTACAAAATCTTTTGTTACAAAATCATAAGCACGTAATTCTGTAATATGACAATATCACACTCAAGCACAGCACATGACATTTTAGGTGAAATGTTCAAAATAAAACTATAAATTATTATATCCATATTATTACCCTACCAACCACACTCAAGCAGGCATTACTTCTGCTGGACCCTGTATAAACAAATGTTTATCAATCATAATACAAAACTTGTGTCAAAATACAAGGAGTTGGACTCTCAATTGTAACAGCTACACTAACCATTTCGGAATTTTTAGGTTTTCCAAAATACTTAACGCAGGGCTGAGGCACGATTATTACAGCACGACTTCAAAATGGATGTTTCTAGTAAACTAAGGTAAAAACATTTTAGTACTGGTCAGATGTTTAAATCTTTCAAAATTATCGTGTTTAGCGAGTCCTTAACGCAGGTACCATTACGCCAGGACAGAGACGCCTCCAGAGTCGCCTTTAGTGGAGTACTCCGAAGGCCACCTAGAGGAGCGATGCTTCTTGGGACTTGTAGTCTCTATTAGGACCGAGGACACTGCAATTCCATTTCTAAAACACTTCCCCCTTTTAAATTTCTTGGCGTAACAGTTAGACTAAGCCCTAACCTAAAGCATGACTTGAAAACTGTCACCTCATTCTAGCGTCGTTACGTTTCAGCGAGGCTCCTTAAGTTCAACAACCAAATGAACAGAATTGTTCTGTCCAAGACATCCGTCTGTCCTTCGTAGTGGGTGGAGTCTTAATTGGAATGGAGCTCTGGGTTGGCCAGCATGTAGAAAAGGAGTTTTCTTATCCACTTGCAGATCCGTATACTGTACGGTGGGTTTAAAAAAAAAGAGAGAGAGAGACCGGCGCAGTACAACTCTTTCCCGCGGGAAATCTCGCGATATTTTAGCGGAAAGGACCTAGCGGCTAGTAGTGAGCGGTCAAGGCCTGTAGGGGTGGCGGACATCGGGGCTGGGAAAGAACAGGTTACACGCGGGGGGTAAGGGGGTGCTTCCTACGCTACTCGGCCTCCGTCAAAATCAGGCACCCAGGCCCCCGAAGTGTGTGGACAGCGCGGCCTTTCAGGCCGTTGAGCCGGACAGGGTCGCGGTCGCAGAGTCGACCCCGAGCTTTACCTGGGCCTGCGCGGACTGTGACAGGTGCGCGGACGAGCGCGGCGCTCCGCCCGCTCGCGGGCCCGCCCCCTCCAGGCCTCGCCAGCCAAGGCCGGGAATGAGCTGCGGGCCCCAGCTGAGCGGCTCCGGTTGTTGGAGCCCGTCGCTGTCGGGGTTGCCGCCCCAGACCGGCCGCCGCCCCTGAGGGAAAGAGGGAGGGAAGCCGCCGCTGATCCTGAGCATGAGCTGGCCGCAGTGTCCGTTGCTGGACTAAGGCGCTGACATGAACCTGCACCAGGTGCTGACCGGGGCTGTTAACCCTGGCGACCACTGCTTCTCCGTGGGCAGCGTAGGAGACCAGCCCTTCACGGTGAGTATGGGAGGTTTCCGCGTCGCCTGTGGTGTGTCCGCGTCTCTGAGTCAGCCAGGCTCGGCCCTGAATGACGGCCAGAGGCCAAGCACGCGTTGTCGCCCCTCGGGGGTCCCCTGGTCCTCACAGAGGTCCCCGTCCCCTAGGGTAGGGCGCACCTGGCCTTGGAGAGGAAGAAGGCGAAAACCTTTTGGTATTTCAGGTACTTACTGTTCGGAGCCTGAACTCGGAAGTTAGAATGTTTTGTGGGATATTTTAAGTGTTGGTTTGCCGTCCTTGGTCTGGGATGGCTTGCCAAAGCCGTTTATACAAAAATCGTTGTTGTTTAGTGTGTGTGTGTGGAGCGGGGAGGGGGCGGGGGTAGTGGGGAGCTTTTCATAACCCCACTGCATAAGCAAAAATTGTTAAGTTGAGACATAGTTGGGATTGATTTCATTTCTTATTCTAAATTAAGGTCAAGTATCCTTGTAGTTAGAAAGAGTGGGTGTCTTCAGTACTAATTGTTAACCACTAGCGCTGGTTAAAAATGTAGTAAAACCGATTTTTATTTATTGTTCTTCAAATTTACTGAGGAATAACTTTAGAAAGAAAAAATATTTTTCATAAATAATTTACTCCCGCCGTCCATTGTATTCCATATGTAACAGTTTAGTATACTGGGGAACTTATTTATTTTGGATTGCTTACATTAATTTCTAAAAGTTGTATTTCTGTTTTCAGCAAAACTCCTTTTTGCTATGTAGTGGTAACTTTCAAGGTTAAGGTTTACTGAAAGTGATTTGCTTTTTCATTAGTCTTATCTAGATATTGGAAGGAAAAGGGCCTCAAATTTCTGCCTACTTACCACGATAGTGAAAGTTTCTGCCTTAATTATAGTTTTTATAATAACTTCAAACTGTAGGTATTCACATGATACCCTATATCTCAACAGCATATTTATAACGCTGACGCTACAGTTAGTGTAGTTGTCTCTTAGTTGTGATTAAAAGTAAAACTAAAGTTTACATAAATAAGTGAAACAAAGTAAACTCCTTGACAGATATCCAGGTTTTCTTTAGGTCTACTTTAAATTTTTGTGTGTGTGTGTGGTCTTTGCCAGTCAGAATAAATAACAGTTATTATTTAACATTGTGCAGGCATTTAATTCCTGAATTGTGCTTTTAGATGTATGCCAACCAAATACTTTGTTTTAAAACAGTTTGTATCTTCCTTGTAGAGTAACACATGCACATCTTGGCTTGCACTTGACCCTAGCAGTTTCAGAGATTCTAGTTCTAAATGTTAACCTAGCCAGAACACTCAGAAGAGTGAATGCTGAGAGTTTCAGTGAGCAATTGTAGTTGGATATGGCTGTCTACTCTTGCTATTTAGAGGGAGGCAATAGACAGCATTTACTCAAGGTTTTCCCAGTGGATATCATAAGATGGTAACATCTTTAAAGTTCTATGAGTGCTTTCTCCTATGTAAATTCTAAGAACCTTAAAGAGCTATGTAAACAGTGGTATGAACTTCAAAGCATATACAATATGCTGGCCTATTTATATACGTAGATGACCCATCTAAAGTGTATATAAAACCTTGAATGCATGCCTCCATGTTATATTAAAGGAGAGGTGAGTTAATATGCCAAAGTACATATAGTCTCCTACACCACCATGCAACTTGTTGCTCCCACCTGCTGAATTTTCAAGTCTATTTCCATAGACCAGACTTTAATCTTCTCCCACCAAGCCTACTGAAGATTTCTTCCAGATCTCAGGAAACATTCCAGTAAATAGAGCAAAAACAATTTTTTTGTCGTTGTTTAGTATAAAGGGACTCCAGTTCTCTGTAGTTTTGGTGGTAGTTTAAGAATGAACAATTACCTTTTTCCTTTGTAGCCAGTTCATCCCTGACATTAAGTTGATAGCTCTGTTATAAACTAAATTTTTTGCCCTCAGTTACCTGGACACTATATATACATTTTAAATTTACCTCACTTGAAATTGTCCATTTTTCTTTCATGTTAAAAGCAGAATCTGTTGTTTATGTCTTGAATTTTATTTTTTCACCTGTTTTGATTTTGAATTATTTTTCCTTGATAGAAAAATAGCAAACATTAATGGTACATGGTTATGTGCAGACTAAAAAACAATCAAAACAAAACAACTCTCTAAATTCCAGTTTTACTTAAGGTAAGGACATGAGATCTTTTTCTCTCAGGCTTGTGAAGAATTTTTTTATTCCTCCTGGTATGTTATATGTTCTTTGAAGACAGTCTTGTGTTTGTAATTCCTCCCTTTTGCATGTTTACAGATAACTTACCTGTTTTTGTTTTGAAAGATTCCAAGAGTTGAAATCCTGTTTTACCAGTAAAGTGTGTCAAGTTTTAAACTAAAATGAAATTGAATGCCAGTTTTCATGGAGTCTAGAATTTAAAATATGCAATTACTAATATAGTTAGTATACTCAAGAATGAGATACTTTTTTACTACTTAAACTGGCATCAAACTACTTTGACTTTGCTCTTAATATGAAAGCTTCTAGTAGACAGTGACCATATCTCATACTTTCAAAGCACTTTATTTGCACTTTCATTATATCATTAACCAGCCTTGCCTAGTATATGTCTTGCAAGGTTTCATTGTGAGTATTTAGAACAGCGATTGAAGTACTGATGAAACCTAACACTAGAGTCATTACCCAGATTTGATTTCTAGTCTAGTCCCTTGTAGTTATGTATTATATCCAGGGCAGGTAAAAGGGTAAACTTTTTAAATTTCTTTTTCTTTTCATTTTGTAATTTATTCATACTTAGTGTTGAAACTGTTTTTGAATGAAATGGAAAGGCAGATAATTTCTAAGAGACAGATTGTTTTACTATTTGACTTCCTGTGTCTAGTATGGAATTTAAACATCTTTACTATAGGAGGGAAAGTAAACATGTTATAGGTCCAGGCTCCCTTTTGGATTAGAAAACCCAGTGTTCCCAGCCAAGGGGACCCAGATTAGAAGTCAAGAGACTGACTGCGACTGTCTGTCTGTTGGTAGAGAACTGAGGCCTAATTAGCATTCTTCTTCCTCTACTTTCTGTCATAGTAAGCATCCTTTAGTTTAACTTTTGTTCACTCAAGAGCAGTGATTTTCAATATTTTTCATCTCATGGCACACATAAATTAATTAGTAAAATTTGGTGGCACACCAAAAAATAAATTTTTTGCATGCTCCGACAAAAAATAAGTATAATTTTTATTGATTTACAATACTAATAATAGTAGTAGTAGAAGTAATAGTAGAAGTAGTAGTAGCAGTAATTATCTACCCTTTTTGCTCCAGAGTGACTTTAAAAATTGAGGTGCCTATGCTTATATATCAGGATTTCTGGTACCAAAAATTAACTAATCAGATGCAACCTTATTATACAATGTGACCAATATATTGCAGCTCTATTATATGACTGATGTATTTATGGTTCAGTATAGGGCATTCACACGGGATGACTATTGTTTGAGCTGTTGGCATTTCTTTATTTGACAATCTAAAGGAAAAGAGGTCAATGCCCCTGACTAAATAGTCAGGTATTGCACGTTTTAAAAAATTATTGTGGCACACCAGTTGAAAATCGCTGCTCTAGAGAATCTATTAAAGGTGGGAGGATGGAAAGGTTCTTTTTTTTTTTTTTTTTTCAGGGGTAATGTGTATCTTCGTGGGTGGGAAGAATACAGGAGGGGAAAGTTTAATACCATTTACACCTGGAAAAATAGATTTTTGTGGTATTCCTATGCCATTAGGAATATTAGACTTTGTTTTAAAAATTTGGCCTGTTTTAAAATACTATGTTTTAAATAGAATTAAAATGCCTTTAAGATTATTGAAGTAATACTAATTCTTAACATTGTTTTTAAAAGTGAGAATAATGTTAATTACAATATACCAAATATAAGTCATTTATCGAGGAAATATACCAGGAAGAAATTCTTTGGAATATTTATCTGGTAGGGTTGGTAAAAAGAGGAAATCTAATTGTTTTACAGAAATCCCAGGATTTCCAAATTAGAATACTGACTGTTATAGTCTTGGATAGTTTTTGAAATTTAGAATATTCCAGAAGGTTGTCTGCCAAAATTTAAAGTTAAAAATCATATTTCTATTGTATGCTTGATAACACACATATGAAATCAGTTCTCCCTGTTCATTCCATTTAGTCTCAAAGTTAGTAAATCTAATGTTACATCTGCATAATAGTAAAGATTTTCATTTGTCAATTTAATTTTCTTTGGTTAGTCACAGATTGCTCTGATTACAATCAGGAGCAGCTAATGTACCAATTGTAGTAGATGCATATTAATTTTGAAGAGGAAGTAGCATGACAATTTATTTGATAAACCAGTGCTCTTCTTACAGTTTTGATAACCTTCCAGAATATAGCCAGGGCACCTTGAAGTGAGTTTTTGAGAATAATTAATTTTAGAAAAATCTGTAAAACTAGTATAGATTTTGTTCTAGAAATATTTATTGTTCTACATCTTAGGTTTTTCTTTAAAACCAGGTAGATGTTGATTTTTATTGAAGAATTTAGTGGCAAATTATTTTAAAATCATGTGCAGTCCATTTTAAATGAAAGGTTTTTCCTTTTTGTGTGTGTGTATGTGTGCATGTGTGAGTGCGTACTTCCTTATTACCACATCATGTTGTATAAACTGTAGAGACTTGAATTAATTTTAATAATTATTAGAGCTACCTGTAACAAAGTATACCTATTTCAAGTGATTTTGGATGATACCCAGTTTGGATCATCTGTACAGACTTATCTCTCTTTTTTTCCCAGTTTTATTGATATATAATTGACATAAATCATTATGTAAGTTTAAGGTATACAATGTGATGATTTTTTAATATATATGTATGTAATGAAATGTTCACCACAATAAGGTTAATTAACACATCCTTTACCTCGCACAATTAACATTGTGTTGTTGGTATGGTGAGAATATTAAAGGTTTACTCTCATAGCAATTTTC